AAGGTTTTTTTTGCAGATTCTACACTAATTTGATAACCATTTAACAAAACTGGTAATCAAGTCTAAACTAGTCCCTGAGTGAACTGATCTAAATAGCTCTGCTTTGAGCAGGGAGTTAAGACTAAATGACTTTCAGAAACCTTTTCAAAATTACATTATTTTAGGTTACTGTAAGTATCCAGAAGGTAACCAAAAGAGTTATCACCAACTTTTTCATGATAGTCATAATCAAATCATATAATAATAACAATAAATAAAATAAATCAAGTAATAACAATAAACCACAAAGTTTGTTGTCTCTTACCTGCAATATACTTTGGTTACTAAGTTGTTTATCTGTTTATCCATTTTGTACCTTGAGTAATCTTCCAGACCATCTTTCACTGCAATAATTGTAAGAACCCCTACCAGAGGTAGCATTGTAATTTCTTTTTGGAAAGCTTCAACCAAAGGAACCCAGTTTAGGACAACTAGAAATAGGAAATACAAATTGGCAACTCTGAAACAAAGAGAAAACACAAGATTTAGCCATGCTAGCAGACAATGGTCCTTATTTCCTCACTCCATGCTATACAAACATTTAAGTTATCAGCGATTTATCTTTTCTTCACCTGCAATTTAAGGAATAACTCTCCAGAACTCTGTTTTCACTCTCTAGTCAAGAGATTACTTAGCAACCCAGTCGCTTAATATACATGATCAGTTAATGCAGAAACCAAGAATTCTCCTGTATTTCAAAACTATCCTTCAGGCACATGTTTTCCAGAGTGAGGCACTGGTGAACTTGCACTCTGAAATTTCTTGGTCCTTTAAACTTAACTTTATCATCTATTAGGGAAGATGACATCTTTTAAAAAGGAAGGCATCCTGTAACCTCCCCGCAGAGCTTGACAGATCAGCAGTTCTCCAAGCAGAAGGAAGATTAAAAAAAATTGGCAAGAGAGAAAGACATGAAGGAAGGAGAAAAAGACATTTGCAGGAAATAAGTGGAAAGATCCTACTGCTGATTGGTATGTGGCAGTGCTCCAAGAGCAAGGAATAGTTCAATAGTCCAAAGAACAGACTAAGTGGAAAGTACATAAGCTAAGGAGAAAAGGATTAGCTCAACAATGATGATACTCGAGAAACTTTGGCCATATAATGTATCTTTTCAGAAGTAATAGGTCAGCAGGAGGAATAATTTTTTAATATGCAGTAACACACACAAATATTTAAATAGAAGGATTCAGCTTAAGAAGAATTACCACAATCAAAAAGGACTTCCTTACCTGTGAAATTGTTCAAATAAATTCCGTGGTAAAAAATTCAGTAAAGTATACCTAGTAGTCCGTATTTTGTTGTTCATGTACAGTTTTGATACCTTTTCATACTCTTCTTTAAAATGTCCCAAACATGGTATCACTATCCTATGTTTGCCAGTAGTTTTTGATGACTGATAGCACTTGCTACTTGAATTGTTGCTGCTGCATTCTCTGCCCTCTGTTGCTATCAGTCGCTGCCAGCGGTATCGGGCCCAGCGGATGGGATCTGCCATTGCACCTGAAACACTTTATAGTCCAAGGAGTGTCATCTCTCTAGAAATGTTTGAAAATACAGCAAGTTAGACAACAATTCTGTAAGGCTTTTCAACGAAAAGTCACAGCCACAAGAATGAGAAGAGGCTCATTTTGAATGAGCCTCAAGAAAAAGGTAATTTTCATAATGAACCCAACCCAGACTGTTAATAGGTAAGGTAAGGAACTTCTGCATCAAATAATGAATTTATCTCAATTTCATCAAACCTTTCAGGGTCCTCCTATAATCTGATTACTCTGTTTAAAATGCACAGTATTTTTGTAATAGCAGTCCACCCACCAGTTTCTCATGCTGCAGGATCATGCAGAAAGGCAGACAAGCTGCTAATTCTGCAGAGAACAGCATTTTGAAAGGAACCCTCATCTCAGACACTGCAGTCCATGCTGATGGTTAACAAACCTTATTAAACTCAGAAGTCAAAAATCTAGCAATATGCATCTGAACACAGCCTTAGACACAAAGTGAGGAATTGCCAGTGAAAGGCACTAAGTAGCTATCATCAACAAAACTTCTTCCAGTGAATTAGAAAGAGGTTTGAGAACTTTTAACAACTGACAGAGGATGAGTAAATTTCATGCCAATGCTGCTTCTTTATCTAACTAAGCTCTAACATTCTATAAAGGAATTTGTTTTCCTACAGAAAGCAAAAGTTCACAGCTATAGGTGATACTCACTTACAGCTATACGTATTGCTTACTTTATCAAATCACTCAATATAGTCAGAAAGGCCACCTGCACAAACCATGCCTTAGTAGACGCTCAAAAGTGCTGTTTTTATAACAAAGTTTTTTACAATTTGAAAGTTTTAACTAATGGTTGCTACACTTCTTGTATCACTTCTTCCATAGAACATTTCACGCTATATTTGTTTAAAACCATAAACTGCAAGAGCTCAGAATCACCAGTGCTTCTCACTTCAGTTTACTTTACTTGCATCTCTTACTACCTGCATAGATTGTAGCAAATTTTTTTACTAAATCCTGTTCCTAAGTTCCCCCACAAAAGCTGCTTCTAAAATTTGTTGGATCTCCCTAAATGAAATCTCTTCACAACAGATTCTCCTGTGTGGTTACCAAACTAATCCTGACTTTGGTTTCAATCAATTGAAGCTTCTGTTCATATGGTATCTTTCTCTTCTGTTGACAAATGTCACTCTGTCCTGCTCAGATTCCTCCAAAATGTTACTCTAAATAGTAATTTTCCAAACTATCAACTTGACTATTTTATCCAGACTATCTTCTCTTACATATCTTCCTTGATTCTTCTATTAAAACTGCAGAATTCTTGACACATGAGCACAATGCCCTCACCAGGTCCTCTAAAAATTGGGTACTATTTGTATCTCCACATTAACCAATTCTGTTCTGAAAAAGAAGATTCTCCAAACTTCCTAAAAAGCCTGGACCTCTGTGTCACTACCCTGCAGCTAGAAAGCTTTTATCTAATGTTTATCTAGCCTCTTCCTCTCATCAAATTAAGATGGGACATTTTTGTTCTATCACCATTAGATGTAGATAGCCATTGACTGTCACAGTGTCCTGGAAGACTGTAACCACGTACATGAAAGTCATGCTCTTTAGAAACCATGACCTGCACCTGAAGGAGACAAAAACCAAAACAAAACCCTCTATATAGCATTTCCTCTCAGAATCCCCTAGCAGTACTTTACTGCTCTTCCAAGACTGTTCTGCAGTGCTCCTCCAGACAACATAAGGGGCTAGTCTGTGCAAAAGGCTTTCTTTTTTTTTCCTCAGTCCTAAACCTTGTGGTCTCAGTAATCATCAGACTACCAAAGGTTGCAAGGGAATGCAGCTGTGTCTGGGACTTCTTAGAGAAGCAAGAAAGACGAGGTTGTGAAGATTTTCTGAAATGCATGTCATCCTCTTATTTTCACAGAATGTGGCATCTTTATTTCCTCTAATCCTACTGCCTAGGAGACAGTTTCCAGAGGGACTGCCTTCTGCATACAGGTTACCATCCCATTTTAGTCAGGGCCAGCCTTCCCTCCAGAAATGCAAACTGCCATTTAGAAGCAGCTGCTTCACACCAATGACTCATTTTGAGTGTAGGGCTACCATACAGTCATATATATGAACACTGATCCGTACACACCTGAAAGAGATGCTTCAGTTAATTTACACTGAGCCTGAGAACATGTCTAAAGCTTGAAAGGTCTTCAAAAATGTTTAGGGACTGCAGAACATACTGCTAGTGGAGTCCATACATGACTATGCAGATTTCAATACACCTAGTATTCTCAAATGCCCAAATTAACACAGGGCTATCAACAAACGTCAGGACTGAATTAAAGAACAAAGTACTGGAAATTAAAGAATTTTAAAAGATAGCTGGCTGAAAAGAGGTAGGTTTGGAGTTTTTTTTCTGCAATCAAAAATTTCAGCAGTTCAATGGTTAAAAAAATCCCAAACTTCTGGATTTTGGATGGCATCCTGAAGGCTTGGCTATTTTGAGGAAACAACAATTCTCCTTACCTGTCTCTGCTGTGACAAATCAGTAATTGCACCAACAGGTTTTATACAATGAGAGGCCTTTTAAAATAAATGCTTGCTTTAACTAAAAATATGCTGGATTACCAGGGAGAGTTCTCACATGATTTCTTCTGTTAAATTTATCAGACTCCTTCAAGCTTTCATCTTTAGCATGAATCATACAGGGTCTGTCAATTAACCACACATTTGCCCAATAATCTGACATATATCTACACACTGTTAAAGTGTACAATGACCTAGTAGCCAACTTAAGTAAGTAAATGCCAGGAAATTTCACAAGATGCTGCCAGCCAGGTATTTCAGAGAAGGTTGTATTTCTAGTGAAAATCACGCTTGTTTTTGTAAGACCAGGCAAACAAACATCTGATATTGATGAAGAAGGAAGGAATTCTTTCTCAATCTCCCAGGACTAATGGGAATGCAGAAGTTTTAAACAGGACATCCTGTCCATTCAGTGAAAATTATATAGGCAAAATAACCTATATAGCTGAAATACATCTCACAAATTTCAAAACCTTCTAAATTCTAATTTTTTTTTGTTTACATAATGTTTTATCTTTTCTAGTATTTGATACCCAGTGACCACTATTTATAAAAAATAAAGCAGTTGGGGAAAGCACGGAGGAAGAGAAGTGGTCATTTTAACATGACAGCACATTAAAGTGGAATTCTTCACCACTGGATGAGGAGCTAACAGTTTAAACTGCATATACAATGCTGAAAAGCAGTCACCCCCCACCTCATAGTATCTCTCTGACTCCTGACACAGTTCCAAAACCTCTGCCCCACCCTTCCTCAGGAGCTTAAAAAAGAACAGGAAACATCAGATTCAGTTCTGTGCACCGCATACTTTGTCAGTATCTATAGTATTCTAATGTAACTTCTTCTAACAAAACTGAAGATTGTAGAGATGAGAAATAACTAACACAAATCCACCACACTGGAAACACTGTATGAAAAATAACAAGTAATCTATGATCAGAGAAGTGACTCAGACAATTAACAGACATCTTGGGAAAAAAGTATCTGAATCTCATACTCTACCATAATTCCCTCTGACTCACCTGGGATTTGACTGAGCTACTATTTTGCAAATGATTTTTTTTTTAATAATTTGCATTGCCATTTTAAAATATCACTTTGGAGGATTCAAACTTCAGAAACCTCTTCTGCACTTCTTAACTCTTCTGAGTAATTTTATTCTTCTTCCTCATTAAATTTAGTTCATAAAGTATTGAACACATTTTCTGTGGTCAGGAGTTTCATCAGCTTCACATTAGATATTTTAAAGGATTAAGTCACCAAAGATCAAATAAAAGCTATTTTAAACAATTTTTCTAAGAAATCAATTTCCTTAAAACATTTGACCATTTTGTCATGTTATTTTTCATAGCCAAGTCTTGAGTTCCCCAGCTAATGTGAACTTAAAGCAGTAACACAAAATGGCAGATACCTCTTTAAACACTGGCAAACGATCCACAAGTTACTCTGAAGCACTATTTTTAGTAGTTTATTTCTAAAAAATGTGTTTATGTTTAAAGCCCCCAAGAATAATATTCATGTATTCGAAAACAGGAAGCCTAAATGATCACATGCTAAGTTTTGAGGACAGCCTCACACAAGCTAGCCTGTCCTCATTTTCACGCTATTACACTACTCAAGTGAACACTCTTGATCTTGCTACACGGAAACAGCTGATACAGAGGCAATTCAGATATGTCTTACACTCGAAAAAGGAGTGTAAGCTTACTACTTCTTGTAGTAAGCTTACCAATTGTTAGTAAAATAATGATAATGATGAAATGTGGAAGGAAATTATATGACACTAGATTTATTTTGTTTCTTGTTTGTTTTTCTACACCAGTTCCTTCATGTGCTCTGATTCTTTCCTCTTTTTATAAAAGCACTTTGGGCTACGTAAAACTGAAGGGACTAGATACAGGTTAACAGGAAATAGCTGGCTGTTACACCTTTGTTACAGCAAGGCACAGCAGCATCATTTTTAACACAGAACAGATCAACACTACACACTCTCCATGTCTGACCATCCTATTATCACAATAAAAACAGGCTTTGAGAACCCTCTGCTAGTGATAATGCTTAGGAAGCCCCTACTTTTAAATGGTCTCTTCCCTGGAAGAAGGACCTTGCATCATAAAGCCCCATGTAAGTGTTCTCTTGCATGTGTATTTCATGTCCCTAAGCTCTTATCTTTTCTCATCACTTCCACTGTCTGTTAAATATTCTGTCAGCTTTGTGAAGTACCACCTGCACATCTACATGCAAGCCTTTGCTCCTAGCTTTCCTGGTGTGGAATGGAGCTGACACTAAAAACTCCTTAGTTCCAGTTATATTATTGGTAGCCTTAAGCAAATCACTTAGCAATCACTGACCTCTCTCATACTAGATAATTTCTTAAAATCATCAGCAAAAGAGATGTGTAGATAATTTAGCCTATGTTTATCCTGCTCTGGAACTGCACCTTACTATTATGTGGTCATTTGCTCACATGTCATATGAAGTACCTAACCATTTACCCTGGCTTCTCCTAACCACTTCCTCCCTTCTGTCAACATCCTTCTCTTTTGCTATGATCTCCAAATAATTAGTCCTCATTCTTCTTTCAGAAAGTTCTTTATTAAATGCACTTGGTAAATGTGCATTTAATGACATATTTGACAAGAATGTTCCCCAGACCTTTGACACATGCGTGCTTATGGTGTGTGTCTCTATCCTACTCCTTCTCAAGAAGTGTGCAGTAGGCCTTCATCTGGGATAGTTTCCAGGAGGAAGTAATAAATCAATTCTTGGCAAACAGAAATGCAATAAAAAAAAATTTCACTATCTCACCTGAAAAATTTCTACAGCACCTAAAAGGCAAGCAAGCTAAACAATGAATCTCCCAGCAACGACCCTTTTTCCTTCTTCCCCACATGAATATATCTGGATGTTCTGCAGGTCTGAGGTTCTGGGTGACCAGTGAATACAAAAAATTCTATCCTAGATGAAGTCACACTACATAATGCTGTGGAAGAGTGGATCATCCCCAATCCACACAACAGTCCCATTTAAACCTCTTAGCAGGGGTCACTGCAAAGGTTCACCAGCACTTTTATCACTACACTGACAGAACTATACAGGCTAAAAGTTAAAAACTCCTCCTAATCATCTTTTAAAACTCAGAAGCTAGCAGAAAATGAAGAAGGTTCAGGGAACCAGGGCCTAAAGATTAATTTACACTCTGAAGAACAAATACTTATTTTCTCTTAAGGTATGACTATCTTTCCACACAGGTGTCTCTTTAGCTTATGGTCAGGCAGCATTTAGTCACTACAGATGCTTTGCTATCTGTGAAATTCATATGAATTTCACAGTAATACTGTGGCATGGGCCTCATGTTAAAAATTTATACCAGTGTTCATGGAATACAGAACAATGTGTGTTTGGTTTTTTCAGTTTTCTGGATTTTTTTTGTAGCTGTGTACACTCCCTATGCTATCATAAATACTTTTAAGAGAAATAATTGGCGGTATTGCTGGTTTTTAAAGGGCCAAAACTCTATTGTGTACATAAGGTCTAGCATACTCATTGAAATTTATACTGAAAATACCTATTACAGCAATAAACTCTACTTGAACTCCTAAAATACTAGATTAGCTCTCTATTTTTTTCTATTCTTCTGGTTTTCTACATTATCAGCTACTCAAAAGTTCCATATATTCCTAAGGCATACACTGAGGTTTTCAGGTCTAATGCTCTAGGGCTAGTGGATTTCCGACAAAACCAGCTCTTGAACCTCAGGTTCAAGATTGCCAAAGAGCAACAAAACCTGCCTACTGCTTGGGAATATATTGACAGGAATAACCTGTGAATCCACTTTAACCACCAGAGACTTCCTGTGAGACTATAAAACATGATTCTTGAGATATTATTTCAAACCTGACAGTGAGAAGTAACCTATAGCAACTGAGGGCTCAATTACAAATGTGTATCTTTAAAGGTTTTATCAATAAAAATGAAGCCAAAATATATAGAAGTGTAAAAGCAAAATATGCAAGGAGTTAAGAATGCTGAAACTCTTACCCTACTAACCCCAAAACTATCTAAGACACTAGATAATCACTGCTGTTAGTAGCTGAACTGAGTTAGAAGTTAACACTGAACAGTTGCTCTCACTTCTACCTTCTACTCCTGGCTTAGTCAACTCCTTCATAATGAGTCTGGTACTTACTGAACCTGGTTCTCACTAATCTGCAAGACCTTTTACTAACTCAAATATAGTAACATCACTGGATCTCCCAATCCATCATTACAGCTGTTAAAGTACTCATGTTGGCACAAGCAAGGTGGGACAGTAATGCCTAATTAGAGAGTATGTTTGAGTACTCATGTAGACCACTTGGTCCCAATTTCAGTCGAGTTTTTGTTAAAAACATGTCACCTCTGGTTATTGCCTTTGAAATTCAGATCATCCAGGGCAGTGGGAATTAAATAAAGAATGTGATCCTCGCCCCTACCTTTTGCTCCTGTAAACAGTAAGTACCCACACTCTAAGTGTAAAATTTCAGTCTAAAACAATGGCTTTGGACCAGCTTTGGAGTCACACAGAAGAGCTAAGTGAATTCAATTCCACTCCAATCCTAGGTAAACCACTTAGTGCTCTTTCTGCTGGAAACCACTAGTAATGAAAACAAGAATAATGACAATTCTGTTATCTTTTGGTGATGATATGAAGACAAATATGTTTTTAAATACGAAGTTTCTTAACACTTTACTCATTGAGACGTCAGATGTAAATACCCTGTAAGTACTACCTTGCAAGTATTAAAATCATAGTAATTTTGATTTTAGAAGTACATTTTTCTTCACTAGCTGTCTTTCTGATATGAACTTGGATTATTCTTACCCATCTTTTTCATAGTTAAGTCCAGTAACTATTGCTGTGCTCCAACCCTGTGAGTGAAGATGTGCACTCTGCACCCCTCTGTACTTTCCTGAAGTTTCAGCAATTTCCCTGCGACTTATATGGACTTAAGTCTACTTCCTTGCCATGAATCGGTAAAGTAGTAAAAAGCTGACACCTCAGTCACTACCGTGAACTATTAAAACAAAGACTTTTGTTTCTGGAGTCAAAGTCGAGATTAACATAAGCAATGGCGGGGGT